CTCCCTTTCTTTTGATTTAGGAGATAGAGATCGTTTTGTAGGTGGCAAAGGACTTAACGGCTTCTTTGTTGTGACAGGTGATGCTGGTCTTTTGCTACCAGGACTCGAATGACTTTTACTTCCAGGACTAGGAGGTCTCTTGGATTTATCTTTACTCCTAAGTTGATCCTTAGAACTATCTCTAACCTTTTTATCCTTCTTCTCATCTATTTTGTCTTTTCTACTATCTTTATGAGGACTTTCCTTCAATTTAATTGTTTTATCCACTTTGTCAAGTTTTTCGGTAATAGCTAAAGGTTTAGGAACTAAATTTTTATCAGACTGACTTGTCTTTTTGCTATCTGGCGATATCTTTACAGGCGCTGTTTTTATAGGAGGGCCAAATAAATCGTGAAACGAATTAGAAGTTTTAGACTCAGTAATACGATGCTTCTTGCTTTCGCTGCCATTTAATTTTGGTTTGCCAACCATAGTGGATGTTTTTGTATCACTTTTTTCTAATGAGCCATCTCTACTGGATACTACAACCTAAAATTATAAAATATAATTAGAAAAATTATTATATTAATATATAACATACCAATACATTTAATATGTTGACATTGATTATACATATTTCTTGTAATATTCTACTTCTAATATAAACACAATAATCTACAAATATTTAAATAAAACTAGACTTACAGCTCCACCTTTCAGTAGCTTTTTCCTAAAGTCATCAGAAGGATTACGGATTACTTCTACGTGACGTATAGTCTTGTTAATAGGCGGACCACTTTGCTGCAAATGCAGATCGTATGATATTTGAAATTTCTTGGGTTCATCTTTGTTCTTCAGATAAATTTCAATCGGTATTATAAAGCCTGCATAGCCAGATTCTTTCACCACAAATGGTGGTTCTTTGAGCACTCTCTTAGGATTCCGAAATGTATCATGTAAGAGGAATACCACTAAAATATAAGAAAAGTTGTTTTTATAAAAAGAAAGTCTAAAAAAATAACATTTACAGTGTAAAGACAAGTAGTACGATAATTTGTCACATTATATAAACAATAAAAAAAAATTAAAGAAATACAAATATTGTACATAATATTGTACATTCCTAACAGTGTTTTTAAACTGATTTAGTTTGAATTATGAATGTTACATGCTCTACAAATAGTAGAGCATACGTCATTACTCCAATTCTGTTCAAATCCGTTACGATTGAACATACTAACAGAATTATAAAGATTAGATTAAAGAGAAGGTATACCTTTCTCAATGTAATGATGTATATCTGCATTATCCACTCCTCGTACAAACACCTCCCAATCATGCGTGTATCCCTCAGGAGTACTACGCATACGTAGCATCGAGGTATGTCCACACTCCAAAGTGATACGCACTGCCATCCTCTTATCCAAACAATTTCAATCGCTTTGTAAAAGAAAGTACCAAGAAGTAGCCTCAGTTCCGCAGGTAGACACCGAATACCATTTACATTTTTTCAATCATCCCCATAAAAGCGGCCGACGAAATGATCGCTAGAAAATCACCGGGTCGCACGCGAAGCTACTAGAATCACCGTGTGCAAGCGGGCAACATCGCCGATCCACTTCGTATTACATGCGAGCGTGAATGACAACGCGTGTTTCGCGATCATTAAGGCACGCGGAAAGCGGGCGCATATATTTCACCACGGTACGCACTTGGTTTCTGTATGAAAATTGTCACCACTACGACGAAGAACCGACGCTCTATCGCGCACGTGACTCACCGAGAATATACCGCGCTTGGCGGAAGCCCGCTCTTAATCGCCAATTCTCTTGTGTTAAATCGACCTCGAGACTATCAACAGGTAAACCGTACAACAACGAAGTTCGTCGGCACCGTAGACGATCTTCATCCTTCTCCCGTATGATCTGCGTAAACCTTATACCCCCGCTCACTCTTCGCCGTCTTCATCGTATGTTCTCGTATGTTCGAAGAAAAATCGGGTGCATTTAGTGCTACAATCGCTCACTGAACGCTTAGTGAGCTCTTGCATCTGTTGGTCTATATTTTTGGATCTATTGGAATATGCCAATTAGATGTAAGAGCTCACTGAGCGGTTGTAATACTGAATACTGCACTCATTGAAACCGCCATCTATCGGTGCACGAAATACGAATGGCCCGTTTATATGAATTCACGTCTGGACAAACTAGTTTATTAGATGCGTTTTAAAACTCATCAAAACGGTATCACCAGAAAGAGAAATCTGAAAGAGGACTACTTCAAAGAACTTTTTGAACTTACTAGTATATTATTGAAATGTCGACTGTCGACAAAGAAGGTAGATATTGAAAAATTTAATGTTAATACCTCTTTTTTCTTTGAAATCAAAATATTTTCTTCAGCGTCGAAAACATAGAGAATAATCGATGAAAGAAGAACATCTTCGATAGCCATTTCGATAGTAATTTTTTTTTTAGCTGAAATGAATTTTTTAGCTAAAAGCTGCTGAAATTTGGCTAAAAAGCATTCTAGAAAAAATCTGAAATAATTTCAGTAAAATTTTTCTACCAGCGTTGTGTAGACATAATAGTGTGTATGATATTTTATATTTATTGTATATTATACATTTACTGCCAAAACTAGCATATACTCATATTTATAAATTTAAATATTTTATAAAATTTTTACTAAATTTATTTTTTAGTTATTT